TATTTTATAATTCAAAGTAAAAATATAAAATTAATAAAAATGAAATAAAATAAAATAAATATTTTTTTTACTTTAAGCTTTTAATGCTTTAGCAACTGAACATAATAAGTGTAAAAGAGTGACATATTCACTACAGCCTTCTTGTAGTCTATAGGCACAAACACTAATTGATTTACAAATTAGTGCCTTTTGTTTGTCTTTTAAATCTGTAGAAAACACTATTTTATCATGTAATTGTTCTAAAACCTGAGCTGCTGAATAGGCCTCAAATATCAGATCTTCCACAAAACCATCCATTTTTTGATAGTCATACGTACGACCTATATCTATCATACGATCTAACCAGACATCCGGCACAGTGCCAACAACTTCTAGAACATCTATTTCTTCAATACCATTTTCTCCTTTTAATCTAGCTGTGCTTTGAAGTGATGTAATTGCCCTACGCATATCTCCACCAGAAGCATCAACCAATCGAGCCAAAACCCGCGGTGCACATTTTACTCCTTCTTCATTACATATGTGTTCGAGACGAGCTAGCATTATGTCATGTGATAAAGGTTTAAATCTGAATTTTGAGCAACGGGACGTCAATGGATCAATAATGCAACTCACATAATTGCAAATAAGGCAGAATCTAGTAGTCTTTGTCTCTCGTTCAATGGTACGTCTGAGTGCTGCTTGAGCAGCTGATGTCATTGAGTCGGCTTCATCTAATACAACAATTTTGAATGGCGGGCAAGGTTTACCGTCAGGTCGTCGGTCAGAAGCTGTAAGCTGTGCAAATGTTTTAACTTTATCTCGAATCACTTGAATACCACGATCATCAGATGCGTTAAGTTCTAGCATACGGCTTTTGTACATATCTCCAAATAACTGTCGTGCAGCTGCAATTATGGTACTAGTTTTACCTGTACCAGGAGGTCCATAAAACAATAAATGGGGCATATCAGCACCTTGATCTAAACATTGTTTTAATACAGCTACTATCTCCGACTGTTCAGATACCTCATCAACAGTACGAGGTCGATATTTTTCCACCCAAGGCGTGGTACTATCCGAAATACCTCGCGAGCCATCTTTACTTTTCACACCACTGCTAGTAGATTGTTGATCTTGATTGATTTTTCCAGTTTTTAGAAAAGAATCCATAGTAATTATAATTTCTATAAAATGAAAAAAATGTTATTAATATAAAATATTTAACTAGTAATTATTAAAAAAAAATTGTGACAGATCATTACAAATTTGTAAAAATTGTAATTGTATTGTCCTATCACCCATATTAATAATAATAACAACAGCATATGGTTATGATAATTTTTTTCTGGAATTTCAAACTCTAACTCTTTTTCCAAACCAATAAAATTCATCATTGCCACCAATTTACTCATTAAGATAATATAAATTATAATCTTTTCAGATATTTTATATAGTATTTAAGTAATTTTATTATTATCATTTGTGCATCGTTATACTTCTACATTATCTATAGGTATGTAATTTAATATCATCAACATCACCCTAGCCCACCAATGCCAAGGGTTTTTGCTAAAACTTTTATTTTATTAATCATTTTAAAACTTAATTATATGTGATCATATGAACTTTTATTATCTAGTTTTGATCACTATATGAATTATACCACCTAAAAAATAACTAACCATTTTAATTAAATAACAATTAAATGATACTGAAAATTATGTGTTATTAGATGGACAAAAGTAATTTAATACCAAATTCATCAAGTATAATGAAATTTATTTAAATATAAATATAATTATTTCAACTATATAATTTTTATTAGAATGTTTAGTTTCTTTATGCTTTAAATAAATTTACATATGTATTAGGAATATAGATAGTTTTTAATAAAACATTTCATTAGATCCTTAAATTATATCAAATATTGATATAAAATTTATTTTTTAATATAAATATCTAATAGATTTTTATTGCTTAATAATAAGAAACATCAAATAAACGATTATATATATATTTTTTATTACTTACAAATTCCAAGTGATTACAACCACCACTAATGTTAGCCGGTCGTTAAATATTTCTGAATGGCTCAAACCACGATACTGTAACGAAGAATTAAGAAAGTACTATGTTATAAAGTTGTAAATACTGATTTAAATACACCGCGACAATGTAGAGACGCAGAAGTTAAATAAGTTAAATAAAAAAGATTCAACATACATCGTACATCGACACAATAAACTGAATAAACAATTACAAATTACAAGTTTTAGTGATAGTGTTGTGAATATTTACCGCCAAAATAAAAGTTCATTTGTCATACTTTAGGTTATGATTTTAATCTTCTATACCACGGTCTTGATTATGATTATTTCAAATTGATAAGATTAAATTAAAATTTTATAACATACAATTATTTTCAACTTAAACCTTAAACCTTATTTTAAATTTTTTAATTTTTAGACTGCGCTCACTAGTCTGTAATTATTCTTCATTTAAATTCATTAGTATCTGTAAATAACTGTACATAAAATATACACCGTTTAAAGTAAGTAGATATTTTTAAAAACTTAATGCTCTATGTATATTATACTATACTATTTACGATTTATATAGTGATAAGGGGGCTAAAATCCTTCAAAACTCTTAAAATTCTTTAAAAAAGAAATATCCAAGTCTATTAACAATTATTATACTCTAAATCTCATTGCTCGCAAAGAAAACGCTAGTGTAAAACCTTTTATTTTGGTAATTTGAAAATTTTTATTGTTTTCAATCTGACTATTGTTGATTGATTGTATTTAATTTTTTTAGTCATTCTTGTATGTAGTTTAAAGTTATTAACAAATTATTAATGCAAGTTATTATTATTTTTAATTTTCTTAACTAAACAAAAAAAAATTAAAAAATATTTTAATAAATTAATTTTTATAAAATAGACATTATTAGACGGCATTAATAATGGATTTTAATATCTATTTGGTTTTTAGGTAACAAAACTATTCTTAAAGAAATATAAACATGGCTGAAGAAGAATTAAATTCCAAACCTTCATATCCTCTAAAAGTGTTATATTGCGGTAACTGTTCACTTCCGCCTGAATATTGTGATTTTTCCTCAGACACTGATCGTTGCCGGGAATGGCTTGAAAAGTATTTACCTGATGAATTTAATAGAATAATGACATCAAGTGGGACTGCTGGAGGTGATGACTCTGATGAGAAAAAACGTCAAAAACGTGGTGGAAAAGGTATGGTAAAATCCAAGAAGAAAGATGATGGTCCCAAACAAGTAAGTAAACAAATTTCAAAATAAGATTTACATTGGCATAAAAATAATTAATTTATATATGTATCAAAATTTTTTAGGTGTGTTTATCCAGAGCACCAAGAGGCAAAAAGAAATCTGTTACTGTTGTAACTGGATTAAGTACATTCAACATTGATTTAAAAGTTGCAGCTAAATTTTTTGGTACAAAATTTGCTTGTGGATCAAGTGTGACAGGCGAGGATGAAATTGTCATACAAGGTGATGTCAAAGATGACTTGTTTGATATAATACCTGAAAAATGGCCTGAAATTGATGAAGATTACATTGAAGACCTTGGAGATCTTAAACGGTGATCACAATAAAGTTTATTTATTTGAATGTGAAACAAACTATTCAGTCATTGAATTTTTGTTTATCTTAAGGCAATATTTCAATCTTTGTTGTCTACTTGGAATATTTAAATATATAAAACAAATATATTGATATGGGATTTATAATATTTCCATTCATTTAATTGTTATATAATTTTTTTTTTATAAACTTTTCCTTCTTTATCTTCCTCAAAAAAAGAAAAATTAGCATTTTACAAATTTGCCAAACACAATTTTATTTATTTACAATTAATGTAAAATTGTGATTATTAATATAATGTTATTATATAATTGAAAATAATAATCTTTAATTAATAATTTCATTAACATAAAATATGTATTGATTCGAAAAATGTAATGAGCTTTTATAAAAAAAGTACCATAATTGATAATTACAAGATTTAGTTAGTAAAATCTTATGTAATAAAATAGTAGTTTTAACTATGGACTAAGATAGAGTAGATATGAAATGATCAGGTAAGTTTTAAAGGCTCTTAAAGTTTAGAAGAGACAGTACCTAGAATGGAAATGTATGAGCTGGCTTCACGTGTTGCCTATATGTATACACCATTTCCATATGAATGCATATACGTGGAGCATAAGACATAATTTTGCCATTTCCTCTAATGATATACATGATATATCTATTATCTCATGATATTTTTAAATGATTCAGTGATAAAGCTATTGTTTCTAGTTCGTTTTATCATGGTCCGTGATTATATATTCATATAAATTCTGTATATTTTGACTGCTCATTGGTATGATATGTCCACATTAATTACAAAACCGATATTGAAAATAATCTTAGGATTAATTCCACTATGGAAATATTAGTCAAAAGATTCAATTGTGTTTAATTTTTTATAGTTTAATATTGTATAATATTGGTTTAGGTTTTTAACACAGAAATATACAACAGTATTTTAAGAACTATGTAAATAATATATTTTTTACTTATATGCTATGAAAAATAATATTTTGCTACATTGCACAAGTGTGTAGAAAATGTTTTAACTAATTTTTGATTTACATTAATCTTTAATACATCAATAAAATACATATTGTACTAGTAAAACAAAAATATGGGTAGTAAAAATTAGGTAGGCTATCATAAAGTTAAAATTTAATGTGCTATGTTTAAACATTATAAATTTACGTGTATTAACACATACAATATAAAAGTACAAACTAAATTTTGACTGTAAAACAATAACTTATTTTATAATTTCTTTTTTTTTCTATTTATTAAACAATTTATTATAAGACAAAACAATTAGAAACATAATATAAATCTTTAATAATTATAGATTTTTATAAAAAATTAAGTATGCTTATAAAAAAAAAAAATAATATCTTTTTGTTAATACAAAGTATAAAAAATCATAACTGAATAATTTAGTAAAACAAACTTTTATAATAGTTGTTCTTTGGTACTAAATATATGTAAACGACCAGATCCATTTCCTCCGACATAAATAGCCTGAGTGGGATGTACTTCTATGACTGGACAATATGTGGTCATATCTGTAGAGATTAGACTGTGCAATACATTTCCAGCAGAATTATAAATTTGTATCTGGAAATACATAAGAAATACATAAATTTTCAATAAAATAATACATTAAATTATATTATTGTAAACTTATAATTATATTAAATATTTTAAAATATTACCAGTATCATTTAAAATTGTATACATATTTTTAATAAGCTTATTATTTTTAAATCAATTTCTTATTAGTATCAGTAACCTATTATAAACAATTGCTTTAATTATAAATCAAACCTGTGTGGTTTAACATATACATAATTTTGATGAAAAAATGCAATTATTCTTAAATAATAAATACAATTGTTTAAATCTTAAATGTTATCACATTAAATAATCTTAACTATAATTTTCTAGAATTTATGTTTATTAGCTACAAATTTTGCCATACAGCTACCACTGTCTAAGAGGAGAAAAATCTCTGCTTATCGGTTATTCTTTAATAAAAAGGATTGAAGTTGCTTATTCTAACATAAATCTTTATATGAATAGATAATACAATTATTTATATCTAATTGTGATGGGTATATATATAACTAATTACTATATTAGGATATGATTTGTTTGCTCTTTTGTTTAATTCTGGAATATATATATACATATATGATTAATCAATATATTTATTCATATATTTCTTTAGTCAACCAATCCCTTTAATTATCAAGTGGAATGTCAATATTATTCTGTTAAAATCTACTTTAATAAATATAACTGAATATTGATTAATAATTAAACATACTCTTTTTGGAGTTATCATTGATCCAATGAAGAATTCATCATCTCTTCCAGGATTCCATTTAGCTTTGAATACTGAAAGCCATCGTCCTGTATGGTTATTATGAGGAATTACGTTGATGGGTTCTAAAAAATATTATTAGAATATTATTTATCATCTTAGTTGGTAAAATCCATTATGGTTATATATTAAAATTGGGTCCAAGCAATTTTTACTTCACGAGGTGCTTCAACACTTATATTAAGAAAATTAATAATTTATTGAAAAGGTTTACTCAAAACCATTAAGATTTTAAACTTACTTGTAGCACTTGAATTTAATGTATTGGTATTAAAGATTCTAATTTTGTCATCATTACATGTAGATACCATCTTAGTACCAGAGTCAGAAAAAAATGCACTAGTCAATGATTTAGGATGCTCAAACTGTAAGATTGGATTAATTGATTTATCAGTCATATTTCTTATGTCCCATAAAGAAACCTCTCTAAAAGCATAATTAATTATTTTTTTAATACATTTAGATGACTTTATTTTAGCAGTTACTATTATAATAGTAATTAATAATTACCCAATTCCAGATGAAGTTAAAAAGTTATGTTTTTTCAAAGGGTGACATTGAACTGTACGCACAGATCTTTCATGGCACCAGGCTGTGTTAATAATTTTATTTGGTGTCCGTGTGTCAATGACATCTACATGACCCGAACCTTAAACATTAAAGTATAATCATAAAAACTTAATATTTTATGAATTACAGCTTACAAGTTTAGCAACATACCACTGCCTATGAGCAGATTTCTTTCAAATTCAGAGTGCCATGTAGAATGATTCATTTTTGATTTATTTTTATTTTTCCAATCTGTCTTATAGATCTATTTATTTAAATAGTATAATTTTAATGAACATAATTAAGAACAAAGATAATCAATTCTTGGGTAAAATAATTTTACTGACAATATCAAAAGTGCGTTTAACAATGTCACCACATCTGACTGATCCATCATGACTAGTTGAAAATAACTTGTATGGATCCCAAGAACAAAATGAAATACAATTAACAGGAGCATCATGTAGTCTATATTCACGCATTTCTGAATTTCTCTTGTTGTATAAGGCTACAAAATTAAATTATTAGTTCAGAGTTAAGACATAGTTATAATAATTTAATTATTATTATATGGATAGAATAAAAAAATTAATTATGTATTTGGTCTTACACAAGTTTCCTTTCAGGTCTCCTGCTGCAACTATTAGAGATGTTTCTGAAGGATGAATAGCAAGAGAGTAAATTCGTTTTTCACAGATTTTTAATGATGGTGTATTCATATCAAGACTTTTTAACACATGAATAAACCTAAGTATAAATAAAATTATGTTAAACACATATATATTTTAAGATAAAAATAGAACTTATTTAAATAATATCTATAATACAGCTTGGAAAATTTTAATCTTTATAGTAAAAAGAACAAAGAAAAAACATTATTTTTGGCTATAAACTTACACTTGATTTATTACTAAACAAAATTAAAATTATTTAATTCGATGTAAAGGAAGCTAACAAAGAAAAATAGTATGATACATCTTCCTAGTTTAACTTTTATTTTTCTAATTTTAGCATTATGGGAAAGAATAAATTATTAATAATTTAGAATTTATTGCATACTTATGACTAGGTAATGTATGAAAATTATTAACAGCTTCTTTGATGGCTAAGTCATCACTCAATTTTTCAACAAAATTTGAGTCTTCTTCTGGCATTGCTATGGTACCTTAAATTAATAAAATAACGTGATAAGTATGTTTTCTTTAGAAGAACACACTATGGTGGTTATAGTGAAATAGAGCACAATTTATTTTTAAAATGTAAATTATAAACAAAATACATAGGTTGAGCATTATCTCATTAGCGTAATAAAGCAATATTTAAATTTTATTTTAAATCATCTTTCGTAAAATGATCTTGTTTAGGGTACAGTTTATTCAAAAACAATTAAGTATTTACTAAAATAGATGTTGTAAGTTAGGTTATTTCAATTGTATTTTTTTTTAAGTTGGATAAAAAGTATAAATGTATCTAATATAACATTCATGCAAAATATATAATTTATAAATAGAAAAAAAAATGATTGGACTATCTATGTGCTGAACAAAAATAATTAGCAGCTTAAAGATATAATTTACTTACTTTGATCTTTAAATGTAGTTGTATAAGAATCATCTTTTTTAGAGATTTCAGAATTGTTAGATTTTAATTCATATTCACCAGGGAGATGATTATCTTGAGGTGCAGGCAAATTAGCTAATCGCAGTGAACGTCTTTCAGGTTTTCTGAAAAAAATCGTATAAATTAGTGAATGAAATAAAAAATTAACAAACCATTATTTACTTACAAGTTTATATTTTTAGGTTTATCTTTTTTAACATATGTCTTTTTTTGTAAGCTACTAGCTAATGTCTTTGCAGCCTGACTTACACCAAGAATACTGAAATATATTATTATACATTATTAAATTTAATAAAAAAAATATAGATGAATAATGTATTAGAACATGTTCAATTGGGTACATAATAATTAGAATTTTAATAACTTAACAACTACTTGTTAGAATTTTGACTAAGATTAACTAAAATTTAAAAAAAACAGTTTAGAATAAAAAATTTGTTATTTAAAAAAAATTTTTTATATATTGCCACATGGCACTCTTTAAAAAGTAAAAATTTAATTATGTGAAAATATTGTATTCAAATATACATAAAAGTTCTAAAAATTAGAATTAGAATTATTTAAATGTATTATTAAAGGAAAAAATTAGTGGTTAACTTAATGAATTAATTTGTGTATATATTTAAAAATTATTTAAGAATTTTAATTCTAGATAACGTATGTTCTATAAAAATTACTATTTTGACTTTACAGTGCGTTTAAAAGTATAATATATATATATGTTTAACTTAATATTTAAATACCAGTTAAAAAATTGTATATTTCAGAAAAAATCACTCACTCTAATATTTCTTCATTTTTTTTCATTCTTTTTTCTCTTTGTTGTTCATATGTCAAATTTTCATCTTCATCATCAGACATATATTCAGTTTCTTCCATTTTTGAAGGTGATGTGTCTTGGATTTTAATCATCTTAAAGGCTTTAATGTTAATTAGTAAATACAAAATAGACTATTAAATTACATATCATATATTGAAATATGGTATAAATTATTTAATTATAATAAAGATCAATAAAATATAAACAGTAGATAAGTAGTTACATTAAGTACTCACTGTTTCACAATTGAAGTGAAATATTTTACCCATGTAGATGGGGAAATGATAATAATCATTAATATACTTATAATCAGGGTTTGGAACTTAGAGCACTAAAAGCACTAAAATATGCGCTTATATATGACCCAATAAACTTAAGAATATGTATTAAAAATGAAAAAAAGCACTTAAAAAATTATTAACAAAAAAGATTAATTTGATATGAATAAAAAAAAAGTTATAATTTTAATACAATTTTTAATCAATTAATTGAAAAAATAAAATAAAATCTTTAAAAATTGGGTTTTGAATATCCTGAAAAAAAATACACTTATATATACTATTAGTAAATATTTACTAAAAATTCTCAATAAAACATTAAACTTTGTGATTATATTGAACTATTAAGTGTTTTTGAAAGTCTTTGAACAGGCTCTTCTATTATCAGCTAGAATACACTTTCATGCCAAAAATGAATGTTCTACATTGACAGAAGTAATGGGAGCATATTTAAAAAATACTAGATCATAAGTACGCATATCAGACTTTTTCAATTCACCATCTCAGATAACTATATGGTTTTCGATTTGTTAAGTACTTATTTATAAATTATGTTCATGTGTAAAATTGTTGGCACAGATATCTACACAAATAGTATTTCTACATTCAAAACAAATTTTTGTAATTAATTGTTCAATATTTTAATTAATATATTTTAAATCAATTGATAATAATCGTTAAATATACGTCAGTATACCTAACTAAATAAAAAAAAAAAACATGTGCAAAAATCCTCAAAATATGTGAAAATATACAAAATTAAATTATCATATTTCAAATTTATGTACCTACTATAAAAAATTTTTGTACATCACCCTGCTTTATTTTACATCACCTATAATGGATATGCAAATGCTATAAGTCCCAAACCCTACTTATAATATATGATTTAACAGTTACATCTAAAAATGCAGCACTCAGTTAACAGTAGTAGATCATAAGTTGTTTGACCTTAGACAAACAGAATCCTACTCAACTAGTCAACTGTATGTCTGTAGCCCACTTATCTATAAGTAGAGATTAGGAAAAAAATTAGAATTGAAACACTTTCATAGAAAAATATTAACAGTAAGAATGAGCATCTTACTTATATAGACTTACATACAAATATTTATTAATCATTAGTTAAAATTGCAATACTTTAAAGATTTATCATTCATTAGTTTATTTATCTAATGAGCAATAAAGCAAAGTAACTGAAGAAAAAAATGCCCCTAGTTAGTAGATGATAGTTTGGTGTTTAGTAATTAGTATAGAGTAAATTTGTTAAATAATAAATATTTAAAGATTTAAGTATGATGAAGTAACTTTAACTTACTATAGACTATTCAGACACAACTTTATCATGAATTAAAGCTTAAGCGACTACACGACTAACGAAATAGAATTTCTTCTTTAATCCTGGATATAAACTGTTACTGAATAAGACAATGAATTCTAATTTCTGAATTTTTGATTACGAGTTATTCTGGTCTTACAAACAAAAACAATTAACTGAAAACTGAATAGTGAATTTCAAAAGATCCATTACCAATTTACAAATAAAATAAAATTAACCTATAATATTATTAAAAAATGGCGCGAAAATTTACAACCTCCCAGTTATCCACACGGCGTCTATTTTGTTATCTGTTCAATGTTTATCATCAACGAGACATAAGTAATAACAAGGTAAAGACCGACTTAACTTGACTTAACCCTGTGGTTGTGTTGTATACCCGGTGTGTTGTTCTGTACTTTTATTATTTCTCTTTCCGTGAGTTTGAAAAAAGTTCGTCTTCAAAGTTCGAATGGAACCTAATAAAATGGTATGTTGCTCATAATTTTATGGTAGGGATAGTGTTCTGATTTTAATTCGAATTGTGTGCTAAACGTTAAAATACTATTATGTAGAAGCTGAAACTTAAATTTAGTTCACTAAATGATTATCATGCATTATCTATCCTTATATGTGTAAATGTTATTGTCATTTGCTATGTAAATAATGAACTCCAAAATAACACGTAAACTATACTTATAAATTACTGTAATTAAACCATTTTTTTGATTTTGTAATTTGTAATCATGGGTAATGAACCTTATTTAGTAAATGACCTTATTCCAATTAAATTTGCTAACATAAAATAATAGGTATATATATTTTTTTGATCATTTACCAAACCTATTTAACCTGTTTTTATACATATATGTAATTTAATTGTACTTACTATTCAATTTTTAGTTCTTACTTGGTATTGTACTCCTACTGTTTGAGTGTTGGTAGTATTTTATCTGAAAATGCAATATTTACGAACATTATTTCTTTATATCTTGATATTTTACTTGCCGTATGTCAAATGCAATATATTCATAGAAAAGTGGTTAAATTTATACCTATTTCATTGTATTATTATAAATTTAATGTTCTATCTAGAATATGAATGATTAGTAAATTAAATTAATATTCATAATGTTGGCTTATCTTTATATTGTATGTGTAGTTTCAAGTATGAAGTACATATATTAAAATTATTTTCTTATGAGTTACTGTAGGTAATGTTTAATATTATCTTTTAATTTTTACATCCAAAAATATTGTTTAAACAAATAAAATGACAATTTAAGGATTCTTAATAATTTGTATTTATTTATTTTTTATACTTATGAAATATCAATTATTAACTGTGCTATTTTTAATTGTTAGTAATATATTATTATCTATTTACATTTATTTGAAAGTTTTGTTACGGTACATCTATAAAAAATGTTTTGAGTACAACTGCTTAATGATAATGAAGAAGAATCTAATTGTATACGTTATGAATAGAGTGTGGATTTATATGCATTAAAAACCAACCAAATATGCGCTAAACTTTTTAAATATGTATAAGTATATGCACAAAAATAAAAAAATAATTTTTTGAATAGTAAAATAATGTCAATGTTCAATCATGGCTGTATTCGATATTTTCTTATCTCGGTGTACATGTTTTATTTCCCTGATTATAGATTTAAGGTTATATTTAGAAAAACAATTTATACCTATTAATTTATTTTTATGTTAATCGAAACTGTAAAAATATAATATTTTTTTTGTATATTATAATAGACTGTAGTGGTGTATATTTTAAAAATGTCTTAAAAACATCAAAATATGCAATTAAGATTGTAAAATAAGCTCTTAAAATAGAAATATGTTTTAAAACATTATGTCATGAAACAAATTTTGTACTCACTTAGCATATCATACTATCAATCAGAATAAATATGCAAATGCATATAAATCCACGCTTTAATTATGAATATGGTTATTAGTTAATAGTTACATCTTAAACTGTATACAAAACATAAATATCAGGTTCTTATTTTTATGAATAGCTTGTATAATTAATTATAAATTATATAATCTGTAACTGATAGCTAATTTTTATTATGTCTTGCATGTATTACATTTCATATTATTTTATTTTCTACTCGATTTTCTAGATGTTGTAATGGTTAATTTAATCAATTTAAACAATTTATCGCCAATTAAAATATCAGTTGCTGTTAGCTTTCATCTATTATAATTACTTTTAAAATTATATTTAACAAACATAATATGTGCATATAATTTATATTTAATAATTAAATTTATGTTTCTAGGTCTAAAAGTGGTGATTACTGGTGAAAATTATGCTCCATTTTTAAGAAACATAAAATTTCTGTATTTGGATTTCAATTCATTCAGCAGTTTTCAAAAAATATTCACAACCGTAAGCTTATTTTATAATTAAAATATCTGTTCAAATTTCTTGTGTGGTTCAATTATGTACGAACCGGAAGGTGTTTTCGAAGATGATGGACTAATTCCACCTGGTGAAGATGTAGCTCTTCCCCCAGCCCTTGAACAAGCTTTGAACTATATTCAAACAACAGAATATTCACATGATGACAACACTGAAGTTGTACAGTCTAAAACTGAAGATGTCGAGGAAGATGATGATGATGATGATGATGATGACGAAGAAGAACAAGTAGTTAAAATGTCTACCAAAGATCGTAAAGTAGCTAAAAGAAGGAAGAAAAAGTATAAAAAGAAAAAGAAGAAACAATTAAAAAATGAGCAAAAAGTAAAAGAAACATCATCTTCAGACAAAGAGAACAAGGTTGAAAAATTAGATATTGAGGTCGAATACATACAAGAAACTTTAAGTGTTTTCAACCTTGTACCTATGTATAGGCAATATGCTAAAGTATTTGAAAATTTTAAAATTCCTGAACCAGAGCAAAAATCATCTGATCAAGATGGTGGTCAAGAAGCTACATTACCCAGTTTAGATTTAAAGAAAGTACCTAAGCTTCCTGAACAAGAAGATGATGATGATGGCAAAGATAAAGATGGAGAAAATCAACCGAAGGGTCCTGATAAGTTGTCAAGAAGGCAATTTAAAAAAGTTACTCGTTTAAGTGTAGCTGAATTAAAGCAACTAGTTTCTAGGCCAGATGTTGTAGAAATGCATGATGTAACTGCCAGAGATCCACATCTCTTAATCCAGTTAAAAGCACATCGTAACACAGTACCTGTACCTCGTCATTGGTGCTTCAAGCGTAAGTATTTACAGGGTAAACGAGGTATTGAAAAGCCACCGTTTGATTTACCTGATTTTATTAAACGTACTGGTATCATGGAAATGAGAGCTGCTCATCAAGAAAAAGAAGATGAAAAATCATTAAAAAACAAAATGAGAGAAAGAGTTAGACCCAAAATGGGTAAGATAGATATTGATTACAAAAAATTACATGACGCATTTTTCAAATTACAAACTAAACCAAGATTATCTCTCCATGGTGATTTGTATTATGAAGGCAAAGAATATGAGACTAAGCTTAGAGAAAAGAAACCTGGTGATTTGAGTGCTGAATTACGCACTGCATTAGGTATGCCAGTTGGTCATAATGCTCACAAAGTCCCTCCACCATGGCTTATCGCTATGCAACGTTATGGCCCACCACCATCTTATCCAGCTCTTAAAATTCCTGGTCTTAATGCTCCCATTCCTGAAGGATGTTCTTTCGGTTACCATGCTGGTGGTTGGGGTAAACCTCCTGTAGACGAACGTGGTCGACCTCTTTATGGAAATGTGTTTGGTACACCATCTGATTATGATGAATCCCATGTAGCTGAAGAGCAAATTGATAAATCTATGTGGGGAGAACCAGATTCAGAATCAGATGCAGAAGAAAGTGAAGAAGAGGAAGAGGAAGAAGAAGTAAAAGAAACTGAAGAAGTTGCAATTGATGCTAGTGGTATTGCCACACCAGTTGCCGAAGGCCTAGCAACACCATCAGGAATTATGTCTGGATTACCAAGTGGTTATGAAACACCAGAATATATTGAATTAAGAAAACGAAAGATTGAATCTGAAATGGAAAGTAGTGAACAACAACCTCTGTACCATGTTTTACCTGAGAAGAAGGTTGACACTGTTCGTGGCTCTATGATGGCATCTACACACATGTATGACATACCAACTGCAGCAACAAATAAACCTGGTGAAGTTGAAGTTAGTTTAGATCCATCTGAATTGGAATTAGCTGGAGATGTTGAAGCCATGGCAGCTAGATATGAGCAAAGAATGAAGGATCAACAGGGCGGGGAAGATGATGGCACCGAAACTGAAAAGAAAAAAGGACAGAAACGAAAAGCTGCTCAAGAAGCAAAAACAAGCAAAAAATACAAAGATTTCAAATTTTAAACAAATAAGATTAAAAACCTTGTGCATTTTAGAAAATATTAAAACATTGTTTATAAATCATATAACTCTTTGTATATTCAACTATTTATAATCACTATAAAGTCTAAACATTATGTTATCATTGAATATAATTGGTATAAAGTTTGTACTGAATTTAAAATTGAATCCACTTAATAAAAATAATGTTTAAAACTACATGATCAATATTGAATTATAGTTTCAAACTCGTTCATAAAAATTAATTCAAAAACCATTTTAATTCCATGTGTGTAATAAATAAATTATACTTGTGAATAATTGACACAACGAAAGTATTATAGGTGTGTATTTATGTAGAATAATAAATAATTACGCGGAGAAAACTGCTCTAAAACAGTTGTTATTATTTATTACACGAGAGTAGAACCTATAGTGAACTATCGAGTTAATGTGGCTTAATTCTATTTATATTCTATTTTCTTTCAAGATTTTATTATTTGAATACATTTAAAGTGTTTAAACACCTACATTTTACTGATGTAGTGGCATTTAAAGATATTCAATGTGTTTTAAGGTTAACTGTGACCAGTGTGAAATAAGCAATAAATGTACGACTGCGTTGTGTTTTGTTTATTTTCAGGTTTTGACTCTGTATACGCTTTGGTGATAACGCTGGAGTATTTTACGATCCATTCTATCGGACAGAAGATGCATTTGATGTAACGTTTCAGACAAAGCATTTAGGCAAGAACACAACTCAATATTATTAGTTTATTATTATGTTGACTGTTGAATCTCGTTCAGTTACGTGTATCAGTACTTAGCGTTCGTGTCGTTATTTTCGGTACAGTATAATCACATATACAACTATAGTCACTAGGTCGAATAGTTTACTTAGAAATATAGTTCGAGAGTTGAGGACTGAGTTCAAATCGATTATTGAACGGCAATCGCCTCGCTCTCTTTTTATTCCTCACACACACATATAAACATCGATAGAATAAGGTTGGCGTGTAGTCGCCACTTGACAGTTCTTGTTTCCGAGCGCAGACAATAAAGTAACTTATAAGTGAGTTATAGGTAACCGACAGTGATGGCTATTTTGTAGGTCTGGTTCCTCTTGACGCGCTTATTGCTCAACCCGATCCGTGCATTCCCTCGGACGGAGGCGATCGACGTTACCTGCAGGAGCTGAACCCGAAATTTATCGACGACTTGGCATTCGTTTCGTTTTGTCGTGTAGGTACGTAGCGCTTCAATCATGTCTACAGTTGTTTAAGCTCAAACTTTCGACGTCGTCGGCTGATATAAAAAAAACCTCCACCGTCTTCTCCAAATCATCCTATAGTTTCGATCGCCATCGTTTCACAGTCGTTTACACGTGTAGTAGGTACGTATCGCATTTCACAAATAGGTAACTGCGAATGACATGAATCCCGTCAACCCTTGCTGATTGCTGTACTTTTATTTTCGAGTCATTTATTTACTCGTTGCTGTTGAAGCTCTAGTGATTGCTTATAGAGATTCTCAGGGAGAGCCTGCAAACTCCTTTGAACTCACTCGTGTATCCAGACCTCCAAATAATTCATGACTTGTATCCGTACATCACATATACACTGAATGACTATTTTATCGATAAACACTTGTTTCAAAAATGTCTATTGTTTATGAAAAACAAAGTTTTCGAAAAATTTTTTACCTTTTATTGTTTGTTTTTAAGGTTTTTACTTTTTTGATCGACAACTTAAATGTTAAAATTTCTATTCGAAAGTAGAATATTTTTCGGAGTCTTACTTTAATGTATACAAATCGAAATTTAAAAAAATGTTATAAGTGTAGATGAGATGAGTGGAGTAGTGAAGAGGTATTCCTCAAACTTTTGGTCTCTAATTACATCCATCTACACTTTAAGTACCTATAGAGTTATAATTAATTAACTACCTATGTGCCGGAATTACATTTTTATAAATCGAAATACTCCGAACAACACTCTACTTTGGAATAAGCAGTATGTTTTTTCTTGCATGGATGGGAGATAAGCAGCTCAGTGCTCTTTACTGATAAGCAGATAGTAATTCGTTTTTAATATGTATCTAATAAATGATATCGTCACAATTCCACTTATGTTCAGCGGCTCTCAATCGATATATTATAGGTAATTAAACCGGCCCGGTGTGCTACTATATGCCAGTATTGCACCAATGCACCCTACTTACGTGCAGAGGAAATCAACCGTGGTATTTTTATTTATTAAGGTAATATGAATAATATGATAATTATATACTATTATACAAAAAAAAAAAATGGTTCAATTGGGTCGATTGTACAATGTTGTATGTTATTTTTTTATCATTCTATTAAAAAAAACTAATGAGAGGGTACTTACATCATTCTTGCATACGGTGGTATAACAATAGGTTAGGTATATATTACTACTCAATGACTTAGATATCACATCATCTTAAAATAAATGGTAATAACTACATTAGGATATGAAATAAGTGTAGAAATACACAGCGTATAAAGGTAATACACGAGATTGTCAATTGCTGTCGTATTAACTTACGTAAGATTATTAAGGTTTGAAGATTTTTTATTTTTATTTATTTTCCCTTTAAAATATTATCTATCCTATCGTATATTACTCGAGTCTTCTTACGGGCGTTTAAATAGGCAATTAGCTGAACCGGAAAAAGTACGTGATCGCGAGTTCGTACAAGAATGCTATAAAAAAAGCATTTTTAGTTTTCTCCGAACTTTTTGATTTTACGGTCATTTTTCCCAATTTTTCTTTCCGCTAAAACCTTATTCGGATTATTACGTAATTTTTTTTTTTTAAACGAGTCCAATCGCGGTCCTTCGGTTTTCAAGTTTTGCACTTATGCCGACGAACAGCATTTCATTAATTTTTAATTTTATCGGTAGTCGATAAAATAAGCAATTAAATATTAACCGTGCGGGTTTTGCAGGGACTGCGTGAATATCCTTTAGGCTCGGATCCTGCCCGAGGCCATCGGCCGAACAGCGACTGCGGAGATGAACAGGATTCCCGTTTGCGAGGTGATCGACCAGCGTCCGTTGGCCGACGACGAGTCGCCGCCGCCGTCTTCCGTATTCCGGCCGCTGACCGGCGACGAGTGTTCCGTGACGCTAACGGACGTACGGCTGCAGACGCCGTCGGCCGACAGCGGCCTGTCCGCGTGGTTCCGCGGTGACGGCGTGGACAGCGATCTGGCGTTTGTGCTCGGCGAAGCGGACTGCACGGTGGACAGGGGCCTGGAGGCGGTGGTGGCCGGCATGCGGCCGGGCGAGCTCCGGGAGTTTTGCGTGGGCGACGGGCGCGGCGGTCGCGTCACCGGCCGCGTCCGGCTGACGGCCGTGCGGAAGGGAACCGGCGGCGCGAGCTGGCGCGGCGACGACAGGCTGAAACTGGCCGAAGCGGCCCGGCAGAAGGACGCGGGCAACCGGCTGTACGGACAGGGCCGGTTCGCGGACGCGTTCCACCGGTTCAACCGGGCGGCCAGGGCCGTGCTGTTCGTCCGGGACGTGGACGCCGCGCGCCCCGACTGGGACGCCATGTACGTGGCCGTGTGCAACAACATGGCCGCCTGCCAGCTGCAGCTGGGCAACTACGAACACGCCCGCCAGCTGTCCGGCAAGGCGCTGTCCGTGGACCCGAGCAACGTCAAGGCCCTGGTGCGCCGGTGCCGGGCGTCCGCCGAGCTCCGCATGTTCGACGGCGCCCTGGTCGACGCGGTTCGCGCGCTGGACATCGACCCCGGCAACGCGGTGGCCGAGCGGTACCGGGACGTGGCCGCGCGCGGCGTGGACGCCCAGAACGCCCGTTACGGCGACATGGTTAAGAGGATGTTCGCCTGAGGCGGGCGCCGTTACCGGTCGCGCGCACGACAATAATATCGTTGTGACGGCGATAACGCCGCGCACGACTGTAATAATATAATAATTATAGTAATAATAATAATAATAATAATAATAATGTATTGTACGACGTGCGATTGACAAACGTGCTGTGTGCACATAATAATAAACGTAACGTTGCCCGTACGACGCACTGGTTTTTTCGTTTATTGCTGTTAACTTGAGCACGAGTTGATTTCCCGGGTCGTTTTATATTTTTTTTCGATATTCATTCCCATATTTATCCCATTGCTCCTGAATACCTCTTTATGACCCTGGAATCAACTCACTTACACCGATTCAGACACCTAAATGTCAATAATTGTAACGCCGTGTGCACTTGCTGGTGCAGTTTGTAACACGACTCGCGAGGTGTAGGTATGGGAAATTCAGGTATAATACCGGAAGCGGGAAGGTTATATATTGTATAAATAATTATTATTATATGGTAAAAAATAAATGACCTCACCTACCTGACAAAGACGTCTCTTTGAGGTAGTAATACAATATTAAGATTAATAATAATAATAAAGACAAGACTGATGATACAGTAATAAGTAAACAATATATAAAATGATTACTTAAGTAAATACAAATAATAATATAATGAACGATACCGCTGGTCACATTAATTGACAGTGGAGAATGGTGACAAAAACCAGATTGCCCAATATAAATTATATTAGCAAATGTCACTTTTGGCGGCGACGACGGTCATTGAACTCTGCCAGCATTTATATAATATTATAATTAGAGTGCGGATTTCTATGCAATTGCATATTTTTTTTCCTTTTAATATTTTTGGATTTTTGTCAGTTATCTCCACGAATCATCATAATTTGAAGCTAATGGTGAAATCTTTTTTTGCATATTTCTGCATATTTAAAGGTTATTGCATATTTTTGCATATTTTGGCAAAATTCAAAATTTATTGCATATTGAAGCGAAAATTTAAAAAAATTTAAAAAAGTGTATAAGATAATATTTTGACAAGTAGAATGATTTAACATTTATATCTACTCATTTGACATTTTTAGTGATAGTCATAAAAAAAACTGAAAACTCGAAATAAAACTTTACATCTAAGCTTTTCAATAATTGACGAAACGAAAGAAAAAATGCATTCTATTTCTGGATCGAAAGGTGTAACACTCACAACAAAATTAAACGAGCTTTCCAATAAAAATGAAGGTCTGAAAATTCTACGAAAAATTAATTCAGTGTTATTAAGCGAAAGCGTTCAGCTCAAAGAACTTTATCAAGATCCGATAATACTAAGTTGCTTCAAATATGCCCCAATAACTTCGGTTGACGACGAACGTTCGTTCTCAGTCTTTAAAAATATGTAAACCGATAAACGATACAGCTTCACAGAAGAAAAACTTGAAATGCATATGATGATTCATTTTAATAATAAATACAATTTTAAAAATAAATTAAGTTTAGAAAATTCCCTAAATTTTTTATTATTAAGTATTTAAGTAATTAATTATTATAAGTTTTATTGTAAATTTTAAATAAATAAAAAATTCTTGCATATTTTCATAATTTTGACTGCATATTTTCATGATTTTTACTGCATATTATATGGCATATTTCGATACTTTTAAGTTCATAAAAATCCGTGCTTTAATTATAATATATTGATACTTCGTACGCACCCCGTATTTGCGTCGCGTATTGCGCTATTACCGCAATTATTAGTATCACACCCGAACTGGTAAAACACGCACTGAAATTGGTGTCGTGCAACCGGGTGCGCACACCGACACGTCGACAAAGGTACCGGTCGACGGCGGAAAAAGAACTTATATGCTCGGCGGTGACAAAAGTCGTCGGAACCGGTGCTGGCGATTCCGGCCGATATTCGCGCAAGCGCGCCCGAGCATATGTCACGGCGTCAAATCTTATGTTTAAACAATAATTATAAACGATTCTGTAGATTATTTTAATTTCAGGTACCTACGTCCATGGGCGCCCATTGGGGGGGGGGGGGCAAGACAGGGCACTTGCCCACCCCCTGGAAAAAATATTACCACAATATTACCTTATTACCGAGGCAAATTATTTGTTGAAATCACTTTTAAGATATGAAATAAATATAAAAATATACTCATTGTTATTGTATATTAACATCATAGATAGGTCGTATTCTGTAGTCTGTATAACCTATACGTAAAATAATTTATCGCAGATAATTTGTGGTAAATCTATAAAGATCACAATATAGGTACTACAAATATTTTAACCTAACGCAAACAAGGATACTTTCATTCAGGATGTCATTAATATGTTTGGAATAAAACGAAGAAATTTACAGTTCTTATTTACTGATACCGAATAATATACTTAATTATATTATTTAATTTCTATTTTTTTATATACTTATTAATTTATTCGTATGGCAATTATTATATTAATACACTATATATATATATAAATAAAAATATAACACGCATGTATAGTGTATACATTTATATGTGAAAAATAACATTAAATCTTTATTATCTTACATTCGAAAACTTTTTTATTTTGACCCCCCCCCCCCTAAAATATTACCAATGGGCACCTATACCTACGTCCTACAGTCATAGATAAACAAATTAAATTAATAGTATAGCCGATAAAGGTTGTGACTTAATATGTCTTATTGTAGTCGATACTTATAGTGCTGCACTGGTACGTACATAAATCAAATAAGTTCAATTTTTGTTTAATACCGATTGTATTAAACACGTATATTAATGTTACGTTGGATATTCAGCAATATTACGTAGATATAGCTAGCAATTAAGAATACTTCAATACCTTTTCTAGTACCTATACAGGTAGCTAATAAGTTCTATTTTTAGGGGTAGTTAAAAGTTATGATTTTCCTGTACTTTTCTTAATTATTGGGAAAAACAATTAAAGAATATTTTTACACTTTTTTATTTTCATATTTTATGTTTGAAGTAAAAATAGTAAATTTATTGGAACAGATTATTGTTTCATGTTATTTGAAAGAGCTGAACTGGTTTCATAATAGATATTGTAGGTTTAGTCTAAGGGCTTGGTTGACACATTTATTCTATTATTAACTATACATAATAACTAATAAAATAAAAAATAAGCTTCATTAAAAATATAGAACATACATTTAATCATAAAATTATGAACACAACAACCTATACACCTCAAACACTGACAATCAGTGTATCATACTATAAATGTAAAACATCTAGTGTCTTTAACATAAAAATTTAACTCAAAAAATTAAAGGTTCACATTTACATTTTATTAGAACATATAGTTTAATTTTGATTGTTCTATTTTTTACACAAAATAAAACACCATTCTTTCAAATATGATTGTGAATGTTACAAAAATAAATAATAATATAACCCTTGTTTTTATTATTAATACTTTTTTCTATACTATAGTATAAATCCAGAAAAAACAACAGTCCCGTAATTAACTTAACATCCATGGCACTTAAAATAGTAATATTTATGTACATAAATCTTAATTATAAACCCACAGTAAAATGGTTATTGGTTTACATTAGTTATTTATTTAGGCAATGAAATTAATTAATATAATAATATATAATATATATAATTCTTTACCAATAAACCATTGTGTTGAATGTTTTCACGTAAAACAATAGTATAATCCACAGTTATCATAAATTATTAATAGAAATATAATAACTTTTGTAAATAAAATATTTTAAACATCAGTTATTATTGTTACAAATACATTATTGGTGATGAAGACATAACGTACCAAACAGTATTAGCTATATGTAAATTGAAATATTAAAACCAATTAAATGTGTATAGAAAATTTTACGACTTGGTTATATCCCAATGATTTGAGCAATTTATCTAAGAAAAAAGTATAATTAAAATATGTTTGGAAGACTAAGATGGGCTTTCTAATAAAAAATTAATAAAATTAAATTATATTAAAATTGTTGTTAAATTGAATATGCATATTAAACAAGGAAAAATAATTTGATAAAATAATATGAAAACCAGGTTTTATTCAATAAAAATTACTACTCATTTTTGTATAGTTAGATTTATGGTGGAAATTTTCTTGAAACAAAATGTATTATTTGCCTGAAAAAACTAATGAAAAAATATCAATGGATTCAACACAATAAATAGTATTAACTATCAATACACATTAACATTTAAAAATGATGATAAACAATGAATTTCACATACAAGTAGATAGGTATAACATTTTATATATATATATAAAAAAAAAAATATATATAATCACAGAAAGTTAACATATGTGTGCCATTTATGAGATGACTTAACAATGTCATAAGATAATATATTATCATGATTGTTTAAACCTGTCGTTCATCTCGACATGGGAATTCATTCTTTGCATTGGTTTTTTTCCAAATGGTGACTGAACACCAGTTATAGGAGATGTTGTATTTTTCACAGCTATGTTGATTGCTTGATTAGTAGCCTGTTCTAAACTTTTTTGGAGGAAAATTTCATAGCTTGGCTTCAAAAACTAAAACAATTTTAAATAAATTAATAACTATAATAGATATTTTAATGATTAATAAAAATACTAACATTGTCCCACGTAATATTAGCTGCATCATCAATAGTTGAGCCTAATTCACTATGTACTCCACTGTACCTGAAATAAAATAAAAAATATTTATTAAATATTTGTTGAAACTATAAAAGCATAAATTAAGTAGCAATAAAGACTTAAAAAATTATTAAAATTCATGAATCACAAGTATCATTAGTATTAGCAGACATTTATAGAGCTAGATAATAATAAGTTATTATTTATAAATTGTTATAATTTATTGGTCATCCATTTACTCAATGTTTATATTTAATTAATTCCAAATAATGAGTAAAAGTTATATGGATGAAGTTAAGCTAATACATAACTAGAAGAGGCGTATATTCAATGGAAATCTAGACTAAATTACTTATACATTAACTTTAAGTATTATTGTACTAAAATAAATTTAACAGAACTTCTAGCTTTTTAACATACACAAATCAAAATTTTTTTTCCCAAACCAAATTAATTCTCATTTCTCAATGACAAATTGCGTTTAAGGTTGGATGTTTTAAATAAAACCAACTATTAATAGTATATCAAACAGAATATCTAATTGAAC